CCCCAAAACCCCAAAACCCCAAAACTTTGATCCAAAAGAACAAGATTAAAAAGAAATAAAAAATAGATTCAACTAAACATGATTCATTAATCTTCAATGATAAACTCTGAATGTTTGTAGCTTAAATTCTATCTTTTCTATCAATATAAGTTAAAGTTATTCCTCATTCTATCTTTGGCTTTTCGTAGTATTTTACGTTCTTAAACAAGGATTGCATTTATGGAGACATATCTGACTTATTCTTCCCTTGTCCATAAACTCCATATTTGAAGTAATGGACATCATTACCCTTATCCCGACCTTGCCAGACTTAATCTCCGTTTAAATAAGCATGAATCTGATGAGTGGTAGGATCATGAATTACATTCATATGTTCCCATTTGCCAGTAATATCCTTAGCCAATATCTAATGTTTATAGTAGGTCAAATCATTATTATGCACCTGGAACATAAATGATGATGCATTAGGCTTTTACTTTTACTAGCGTTATGATTTGTTTCCTCCGAAAATTTGCATAATGGTTGCAGAATTTGTTCCCTTGGGTACTTTGAAATCTGCAGAGAATTACTAAGGCTAGTCTCCTGATCTATAATCATTTTAGATTCTATGTTCTGATCTGGGGAATGTATCAGAATGTGGTTTAAAAGCATTCCCATCTCTATATGCTGTAAAGGTTTCTACTCCATTTTGATTTTTATAATGTTATTTATTATCTCCATAAGAATATTAGATTTTGCTTGGCTTTTTAAGCTAGTCCCAACCATTAACAAGTTAGTTTTCTCTTTGACGAGCAGCTGGTGAGTTATATGAACTTTATTTAGAAATCTTGCTCTTGACTGTTGAATGAGATCCACTTGAGCTATGATGTCCTTTGGTATTCAAACTTAGAGCAAGAGTGGATACCAAAACTAAGAGAAGAGTTTTTGTTTTTATCATCTTAATTTTATAAACTCTTAAAACTAGATCCATTTATAATAGAAAGTTAATAATAAATATCTTTGAAGTTATAAATAAATATCTTTGGAATTATTATTAATTTGATCACAGTTTCTAATTCTATCTCAATATTATGGGGTTTTGGGGTTTTGGGGTTTTGGGG